GTAGTTTCGTTACTTTATGTTCACAAAAAGCAAGTGGATGAGCAAGTTGTGTTTGTTCCAATAAATTCACGTCGCTTGGAGAAATTTAGAAGTAACATAGTGAAAAAACTTCCATCAGTTTCATACCAAAATGATCCTAATTTTTTGTATGGAACATTATTTAAACTTATTTGCAATGTATTTAATAATACTTTTACTTCTAAAACATTCTCCTTGAACAGTCGGAAGTCATTCAATGAATGGGCGACAGTAGGAGTCCATAAGAGCAGACATAGGTTATATGATCTTTACCATGAAAGGTCATACAGTCATAGCGTCGAATTAAGGGAATATGTAAAAAATATTCAAAAATATTCAAAAGAGTGTGCTTCACACCCAAGTATTTGCATTTAAGCAACAAAATTAAGACGGCTTCTAATAAAATTAAAATGACATGGAGTATAATTAATAGCGAAACTGGTAACATCAAGTCTCGCAACTAAATCTACCAGTTAAGTGTTAACAATAAATTGAATGAATCAGATCAGGACATTGCAATGTTTTTTGAGAAATATTTTACTGATTACTTTCCGATATTAACCACCAAGTCACTAAATTCTTCTCCTGCCGTCGCCGAATCATTACGTAAACAAAATGTAAATGCGCGTACAAAGAATTTTACATTTCATAAATTATCATCAAAAACATTGTAAAATATTTTAAAACTATTGATGTTAAGAAAACTGCGGATCTGTGAGGGATTTCCATTAAAGCTATTGCGTCTATAATAGATACAATCGCGCCTCATTTAGCTATCGTTTTTAATACTAGTATCGAATCTGGTGTGTTTCCTGATTTAATTTAGCATAGTAAAGTAATACCCTTATTTAAATCTGTTAGTACATTAGACCCCGCCAATTTAAACCTATTTCTGTACTACCAACACTTAGTAAGATTTAAAAAAAAATATTTTTGATCAAATGTTACATTTCTTTAATGTAAATAATTTACTTCATCAAAATCAATTTGGTTTCACAAGGGGTCGCTCTACAACTGATGCCGGTGTTGAGCTAATTAAATATATCTTTAATGCATGGGAGAATTCACAGGATGCTTTGGGTATATTCTGTGACCTATCCATGGCCTTGGATTGTGTTCACCATGAAATATTAATCAGGAAACTTCAGCACTACGGTGTAAGAAGTGATGCTCTTAAATTAATTATTTCATATTTAAGTAAGTGGACGCGTAAAGCTGTCATTAACAGTATGAGCTCTTCCGGGTCGATGGTACAATTGGACATACCTCAATTCTCAATTCTCGGCCCCTTTTTTTGTACACATTAATGACTTACCTTACATAGTAGGGGATATCCATGATATAGTATTATTTGCAGATGACACTTCTTTAATTTTGAAATTAATTATTGACGAAGTAAATAATAATATATCTTAATCAGTAAATTGGTTCAATGTTAATAATTTGGATTTAAATGCCAGTAAAACGAAGTGTATCAAATTCATGACTCCAAATGTCATAAAATTAAATACTAATGTATTTTTAAATGAGGATAAACTGAGTCTTGTATATTGTTGTATACCACCATTTTTCTTGGAATCATACTAGACGCGAAGCTTCAATGGAGCCTCTATATATCAAAACTAGCAAGCAGACCTAGTTTTGCAGCATATGCTGTAAAAAAGATTAGAAGTTTTACCCGTGTAGAAATAGCTAGACTAGTTTACTTTAGCTATTTCTATAGTATAATTTCGTATGGTATTTTGCTATGGGGACACGCAGCTGACACTGAAATTATATTTGTTTTACAGAAGAGGGCCATAAGAGCAATTTATGATTTAAAGCCTAAAGAGTCACTGCGACAAAAATTTAAGGAAATCAATATATTAACTTTGGCCTCTCAATACATTTATGAAAATGTAATGTACATACACAAAAATAAAAGTAGTTTTACAAAAATAAGTGATATTCATTTTGTACCAGTTACTCGACTCCATCGAGTCAGTAATTCATTCTTGGGGCGATGAATACGATATTATAATCAATCAATCAATCAATTAATCAATCAATGTCTTTATTCATTAACAATAAATTGTGTTCGAATATCACAGCAATGTCCTAGCAATATAAAATTGCTAAAGCTTAACTTAGTTAAACAAAATTAATTAATTATATAATCAAACAATAAAATAAATTAAAAATATATTTATTAAATTAACTAATAAATGTCCTTGTACCTTTCTTATCTATATCATTATTCTACCTACTTAACGATTAGTATTCATCACAAATGTTCAATAATATATTATTTAAATTATATAATAAAGTTACAAGAAAGCTAGCAAATGTCAACCTACTCCATAATTTAAAAATATCTTACAACAAAATTCCAGAAATTATACAAAATTTGACCTATTCAAAGTTCAAAAACTTTATTAAACTATGTTTGTATAAAAAGGGTTGTTATAATATTAAATAATTTATGGATGATAATAACCCCTGGAAATTAGGCGATCGCTACCAAGCTATTTCTAATTTTTTGTGTTGTTTATTTGTGTAACATACATTATTGTAAGCTGTTATTTAAAAAAAAAAGTCCCGCTGGGTTTCTTGCTAGTTCTTCCCAGGACAGAGGTATTTTTTCGAAACAGTGATAATTAAACAAAAGAGTGACTTTCGATAAGTATTATATTTAATCTATATTAAATAAAAAGGTTCTTTTTCTGTTTCTGTTTCTAGAGATGACTTTATTATGTAGTTAGCCTCTTCAAACTAATAAGGATTGGGATATGAATAGTAATTTTGTGCGGGAAAATGTTTTATGTTGACGTAAATTAGCTATCTGATAATAGCCGTAATCTTGTTGTTGTTACTGAATAGTATGCAATTTATAAAGAATACATTTTTGAGATATTAAGGTCTTCTGAACCATATTTTTAATTGGAAGTCTTTCTCTACAACTATTATTTTCTAAAGGTATGTAACTAAACATGATGTTGTGCTTTACGAACAGTTGGACCGCAAAATAAAAACATTAATGTCGAAATCTAAAAAAAACAAATAGCTACGATGTAAGGAGGGACTTGTACGACTATTAAATAAAATATGCGCAAATGTTATTATTAAAATATATAATATTTATTATTAAAATTAAATTATTATTCCTATAAAAAATCTCATAACTGATTGATTTTATTAAAAAAAAATACAAAATTATAGTGTTCGCGTTTAATTAAGCATTTTATTAATATTTTTTCAGTCAATACTGCAGTAATAGTAATTTACCATATCAAACTCAAACAAATGTGTTTGTTTTGATAACCTACTTAACGAAACTTTTCTGGTTATTATCAAGCTTGTGAATTTCCGTACACTAAGAGTGTTATTTATTATATCTCCGTATGTAATGCTTGATAAGAGTCGCCGAAGCTCAGGGCTAAGCGCTCGCTGTAAATTATACATTACGCGAGCAACCTGGTTCAATCCCCGCCGGCAACAATAAAATTGTTAAATGCTGATTTACGACATGTTTAGCGGTGAAGAAAAACATCGTAACTGAAACATTGTGAAAAACCTGCATGTCTGAGAAAAAAACTTGACATACAATTGAAAGACATGAACTTCGCCGACACACATTGGAGCAGCGCGGAGGACATTTCCTTGTTCTAAAACCCTATCATAAATTAGGAGAGGCCTGTGACAGTGGAACTTATATAGGCTCTAACTTTAACTTTAAATAAAGCTACAAAAAATACCAAAGTTTATTCCAATCTATAAATAACGAATCTGATATAACAGTGAAAACCTCATAATAGCATATTACCAGTTTTTTGCTCGAGGGCTTCGATATGTTTAAGTATTGCACGCCTCATAACGCCAAGCGTTATAGGTGTGTTGTACTCTATACACGTCAATGTTAAACAATTTTGTATCCTTAAAATGCCTCTATCATAATCATATTGCACTTATACGATAATATGAGTAGCCTTATATCAAGACGACACTTATTAATCCATCTTATATTTTCTAAAAACATATTTTATATTGCTACTTTGAAAAAATAATGTTTCAAAACAATTTTACGTAGACGTCCGGATGTTGATTTTATATGTGGCCCCGATAACTCCCGAAAAACTTGACGTATCGAGACCGGGTTTTTTTCATTAGCTTAAGAATTACATTAAATGGTGCCTTATTTCGTATCAATAGCCTTGTATATGTAGTTTGTTACCAAACCAATTTCAAAGTGTTGTAACTCGGCAAAGGTTAGGAATAGTTTGGGGGTGCTCGTACGAATGTTGTAGAGACCGACAGGAGTCAACTGCTGGTGATAAAAAAAAATCAAGATGGTGGATCTAAGATGTCAACACAACAACATGTAATGATTACACATTTAATTAAATTAAAAGGCTGTTATAAAATTTATATTCTTCTTTTTAGAGCATTTGAATAAAAGCTTTTTTTACTATTAATTTATTTTATTAAGCCTCAAAGTATCAAATAAATTAATAAAATTTTTATTTTTATTATTTTACCCCATATTATCCCGTGGGTGTCGTAAGAGGCAACTGAGGGAAATGAAACAACTGCATCATTCCGATAACTATTCGAAGTAATATGAATCTGTAGTCGACTTGCTAAGCGGGGCAACTGTGTCAAATATTATGGAGGCAATCCACAGGGGAGGCCCATGTTGAGCATTGAGTGATCTTTTGGATAGGCTGTAATGAAATAATAAATGAATGATAATTTATACTACTTTCGAGGAATGCTTCAAACAAGAGGTTTTGTTGAAGATACCAATACTTAATTTTCCCTCGTAGACTTACTGTGTGTGGATCAGTGGATACAACATCCATCGCCAATATTAGCCTCGTGTGATTGTGTATATTAATTCATACCGTAACGAAACCGTTGATCGCGAGCACAGTGGAACACTGGACTAGGTTACGGTCACACGTGTTGCTTATTCTTCTAGTTGATTTATCTTCGAATCGATAACAATGACAAAAATACATATTAATGTTACGGATCCGGTGAATCTAATGTCTTTGAACTCGACTAAACTAAAAGAATTCCTTGATTCTTTCGATCATGTGTTTTCTGATTGCGACGGTGAGTTATATGAATTGTTATCATAATTATCACATGCGTACACTTTTTTCAGTTCACACTATCATTAATTATTATCCTATAAAGTAATACTATCAAGGTACAACATTGAACAATGTATTAAAGAGAAATACATTTTTTTAAATATTTTTTATTGTTTTGACATTATCTATAATATCTATAGTTATTTATTAAGCTATTAATAAAAAGTACAGCTACCCACTCAAAAATATGGGAGAAAAGCCCTGTGCCCTGCAGTGGGTTGTAGGCTGTACCTCTAACTTAACTTTAACTTTTAAAAGTAAAGTTTCGTATTATAATACGTATATGCCCGTTTTAAAATTTATGTTGAAGTTGGTGTAGCGATTAAAAATAACTAAACGTAGTTATTATAAAAATTGGCATGTTATTTGTTTTTAGTCTAGTAACAAAAATAGATCACTTTATGTTCTCTAATTCACAAAACTTGTTTTGAATATGTCTAGTTATAATAATTCAAATAGCATTCGAGAAATAATATTTAATTATAATACTGCGTACAACAGTAGCTTCGCCCCTATTTGTTTTCGCGTTCGGTGACTCGCTCTTTAGGGATTTCAAAAGTTTGAAGTACTATACAGGATTAAGACTAATAACCATTATCCAACATATTAGCCAGGATGCTTCACCAGGAATACGTTAAGAAGTACTCGTGGATCAAATACTGCCTTAATACATAGTTATATTGTTTACCTTTTTTATATTATTCTAAGCCAGCGCTTAACTACAATCCCACCTTATGGTAAGTGGTGATGTTGCCTAAGATGGTGAAGCGCACTTAACAACTTTGCAAAAGCCTATTCACTCTAGCCTTTTGACTCATATTGTAATCGAATTTAGTTGACATTATAGTTTGAACTCAATACTTGCTTGCTTACACTATGGGTCCAAAAGTAGGCACAAATTAAACAGTATGTCTGTGAGATCTCTATTTATATTGATTTTAAGGTTTAGGAGAGAAATCATTTTTATATCTAAGGATCCGCCGAACAATGAGTAATACGATATTTGGACAGTAAATGAAGAATTTATAATAAATTAGATGCCAATCATTTTGAATATATTGTACTTTCTTTATAGTATGCGTGCTGTAGTTTGTTTTAACGGTTTGTTGCTGTTCTTAGGAAGAGTCCGAGCATTGTCTACCACTCTATAGAAAGGTTGAAAAATTTATTTACTGTGTCACATTTTTTCATGGATCATAATATTAAATTAGTAATAATATGCGAAAAATATCTAAAATTTGTCTCATTTTTGTAGGTGTAATTTGGTCGAAAGTACCTTCACCAGGTGTGGGCGCTTTCTTCGATCGCATAAAACAGTTGGGAAAAACTGTGCACTTTGTCTCCAATAACAGCATGAGATCTCGAAAGAACTACGAGGGCCTCTTTGAAGCCGCCAATATTAAAAATGGATATGTAAGTGTACTATTTGAATAAAATTCTTGCTTTTGGCCTAATATTGATGCTTTCAACGTTTATCTAAATTAATTAATCAGAGAGTATTTATATTTGTTTACTTGCAGGAAAACTTGACTGTGCCGTCAATTGCTATTGTGGAATATTTGAAATCGGTTAATTTTAACAAAGCGGTTTATTGCGTGACATGTCCGGAAACAATTAATGTATTAAAATCTCATGGGTTCACATGCAAGCATGGTGTAAGTAATATATTTTTATCTTCAATAGGTACATTACAACCATTATGTAATAAAACACGTTAATATCGTTGAACATTACTTCCGAAAGCTACATTGATAAGGTAATAAGATATTATTTTATTTTGAAAAGCTTGTAATTTGTATTACCATAGCCTTCTCAAAACTTTTGAAAGTAGAAAGTATAAACGTTATTCGTTATAAGTACGATTACCTTTTTATATAGCGGTTTTACGATAGATGTTTTTAAGCGTTCCGGAAAAACACCTTGCCCAAGTGTAGAAACGGGAGCTGCTGTGTAGAGAACGATTATTTTTATTTGCTTTGCTCCATTTTTAATGTATTCTAAGTTAGTCATGTATCTATAGTCAGTGTATTTTTTGGTATCGTCAAATTTGTAAATTAATTGTTAAATAGTTCACAGATGTCAATAGGATTATTGTAAATAATGTCATTATTTTTTATTTCTTCAATTTCTTTTGCGTCACTAGTTAAGTGTGTATTATGTTTAATCATATTCGATTTGCCGACGATATAGTCCTTATGGCAGAATCGCTGGAGGACCTAAGCACTATGTTCAATAACCTCGATAGTGTTTCCCAACGGATAGGTCTTAAGATGAACATGGACAAAACAAAGATCATGTTTAATGTCCATGTCACACCTATGCCGGTAGTTGTTGGGAGCACTAAGCTCGAAGTTGTTGACGAGTATGTTTACCTGGGACAAATAGTCCGACTAGGTAAGTCCAACTTCGACCGAGAGGTCAATCGACGGATTCAACTCGGCTGGGCAGCGTTCGGGAAGCTACGACACATCTTCTCGTCAGACATACCTCAAAACCTGAAAACGAAATTGTACAACCAGTGCGTGTTGCCAGTGATGACTTATGGAACTGAGACGTGGTCCTTCACTGCTGGCCGTATGAGGAAGCTCAAGGTCGCTCAGCGAGCTATGGAGAGGGCTATGCTCGGAGTTTCTCTGCGTGATAAACTTAGGAATGAGGATATCCGCAGTAGAACCAGAGTAACCGACATAGCCCAACGGATTAGTAAGCTGAAGTGGCAGTGGGCCGGCCATATAGCTCGAAGAACCGACAACCGATGGGGAAGAAAGGTTTTCGAGTGGCAGCCTCGTACCGGTAGGCGAAGTGTAGGGCGTCCCCCCACGAGATGGAGTGACGACCTGGTAAGACATGCAGGAAGTCGATGGATGCGGGTGGCTCGGGACCGTGCTTTGTGGCATTCTTTGGGGGAGGCCTATGTTCAGCGGTGGACTTGTGAAGGGCTGTAATGATGTAATGATGATATTCCATAATGCCTTACACTTGTCTTTTGATATCTTTATGTATTTGTTAATATTTATTTGGTGAGAATTTCTTATGCATGTCTTTAATAATTTGCAATAAGTAATTTATTTCATTTTATTTCGGATTTAATTGAATTTCTCGTTTTTGGACTTGTAATATAGAAGTCTTTTTCTAACAAAGCACTTTTTCAGACCTTTTGTAAGCCTATTATTCGGCAAAATTTTATTAATTTTTACTTTTATTAAAATAAAGAACAGATAATAAATAATATTAGTAGATTATAAAATATTTCGAATGATTTATTCAGGTCGATTTCCTTATAAAATTCATTGGATGACAAGCTTAATATACACTGCTTAAATTTATTATCATTTTTTTGCAATATTCACGCCTAAATTGATAAACATTTCTAATATTTTTTCTGCTTTTTCCGCTTTTTTTCTTTAACGTGAATTATTCAAGTGTGTGCTATGTCGTGATCCGATAGTCCTAAATTGCGTGTACTACATCTAATGTTGGAAATATTAAGTTAGATGCTATTTGATCAATAGATGATTTATTTCTTGTAAGTACATCAGTATCTATGTTATAATTAGTTAATATGGAATTTAGTTCTCTTGTATTATTATCATTTTTTAATATATCAATATTCCAATCTTCACATAAAAATACCTTTATTATTATATGTAATACTGTTAACAAGAGTCTAAGTCTATCGAAAAATAGATTCACGTTTGAGTTTGGTATACGATAAATACATACCTAAGGCTATTCTCGCTGAATTGTAGACCTATTTCAGCCTGATATCGGTGCGCCATTACATTCAGACTACCAGCAATATTTAGAAGACGACAATGAAATCGGGGCAGTCGTGTTTGACAGTGACTTCAACGTGAACCTGGCAAAAATGTACAGAGCCATTAACTACCTTCAAAGACCCGAAGTACTTTATTTTAGCGGTGCGACAGATCGATATGTGCCTATGAAGCCGGGATGCTTATGTTTGGGTAAATTATTTAAAACTTTACAATTTTTTTTAATAATAAGGGTGAGAAACTAGCACACAGTCCACCTGATTGTAAGTGGATGCTGACATCTATATCTATAATCGATTAAGAATCAAAATGTAGATGTTACCCCAGAGAACTAAGATAAAATGCCTAGTTTCTAGTAAAAAGGGTCTCCAAAACATTATCCATATGAAACATAGCAGCATTAGGAAAGAGAGCGTGGTCCTTCCCCGGTCGAGCCGGCCAATTCGTGCTTCAACTATGTAGTTCCAGTATGGCTTAACCACGTGGAAGTTTTAAGTGTAATTGAAATGATTACATGTATCACAATCCTTTACACCAAGAGTAAAATACCCAGATTCGTGACGGTGAGCAGTGTCAAAAATACGACGTCTGGTAATACGATAGTCAATCCATCCCCAAGCGTGACGATTAAAGCAAATCCTTCCTACAACGAAAGATGTCCTTGTTCAACTGTGGACTTTTATGGGATGCCGAAGAAGAAGTTGCATGCTTAATATGGGCCACGAGTTCATTATCCGCGTAAAAATGATTTTGTTTGCACCACTGCATATGGGCATACTACACCAGACAGAATACTGTATCTTCAGTAAAAGTAAAATTTTATGTATGTACGTGAAAAGTCTTCACGATCATTCAGAGACTCCTAGTGAAGTAAGGTTTCTTTTTATTGGACTATTTGTAATGACAATATTTGGCTAAGTCAACTGTAGTTATGTCTAACGTGATTATAATAAGTATAGTAAAATGAATCAATTATTTTACTACTTGTAGGGACTATTTTTTTTTATAGGATAAGGGTGACAAACGAGCACACAGTCCACCTGATGGTAAGTGGTTGCTGCGGCCCATAGACATCTACATCTATCCTCTGTTACAAATCAAAATGTGCGTTGTCACCCGTGAGGACTAAGATGGAATGCCTCATTTCCAGTAAAAAGGGCCTCCGGCCACCTGCACTCACCAAGTGAAACGCAGAGGTAAACCTCTACGTCACGCTGGTTTTCTGTGAGGTCGTGGTACTACCCCGGTTCGAGCCGGCCCATTCGTGCGACAGCAAAAGCTGCCGCGTGGTTCTACCACTGATAAACTATTCAACATTACTGTCTTTTGTCCATATGCTAAATAACGGTGGTAAAAAATAGTAAAGTGAAGTAGTATTAACATTCTTCTTATTTGTAAAAGAAAAATTTGTCCACCGCGCTCATTCATTGCGATTTAGTGGACTTCACATATCCTCGAATTATGTTGCATTCTTAAGAAATGCAGGTTTTCCTGGGATGTTTTTATTTATTGCCACGTTATAAACACGTTACCTTAAAATTGCAATTACTAATTTTATCGGTGTTGACGGGGATTAAATTCTGTTTGCTCTGTCAACAGAGACAGCGCGGGGATTGTTTCTTGCTACAAGACCCTTTCAGCAACGATAGGTGTATTTAAACATAAATATTACATTACAGTATTTTATTAATTATTTACCTTATAATAATTGTTAAATCGTTTAAATAAGAATAAGAACCTCAATGACCGCGATCTGCTAACTATCACTTGAAAAGCACGGGTTGCAAAGAAAATTAATTTGCGTATTAAAACGTTTTTTTTTTTTCACTTTATTTAACTGAGTCTTAGTATTACTAAATATATAGAACAAATGATTATTTTTGTAAATTATTTTAAAATATTGATAGATGGTGGAATATTTTAACTACCTACATAAATCCATGTTCTGTTTTTATAAGGGAAAGCCAGCAGTGACGACTACTCAGATAGTAATGCAAAGATGAGCGAAATTGAATTGTTAGATTCAAATGAATACATTTTCGTTCTTTTGTAGATAAATAATATATATATTAACAAATAGGACGTCACAATATAGCGCCAGGTCAGTCCTATTCTTATATGAATCGAGAAATTTCTAAACATGTAATAAAACAAAAAACATGTGTAAGTATCGTGGAACACTCAGTTGGACCGAAGTTCTTTTCGTAGTTTATTATTATTATTGATTGAACAAATACAAATAAATGAATTAGTGTCTATTAAAATGAAGCGTCATTTAAAATAAAATAATATTTCTTTAATGGCAAGATAAGAAAACGTGCGAGGGAGATGGATATTATTTCATCTCGCTTCCTTATATCCACCAAGCCCATCTGCACTACATTAGAAGGGGTCATGATGGAAAAATCTTAGAGTTTTTGTCGCTTAGCCCCCATATCTTATTCCTTGACAGAATATTTGTTAATGATAAAATCCAAATATCATCATCATCATCATTACAGCCCTTCACAAGTCCACTGTTGAACATAGTCCTCCCACAAGGAATGCCACTAATCAAGGTCCAGAACCACCTGCATCCATCGACTTCCTGCATGTCTTACTAGGTCGTCACTACATCTAGTGGGGGGACGCTCCTACACTTCGTCCGCCGGCACGAGGCCACTCGAGAATTTTTTTTCCCATTGGTTGTCGGTTCTTCGAGCTATATGGCCGGCCCATTGCCGCTTCAGCTTACAAATCCGTTGGGCTATGTCGGTCATTCTGGTTCTACTGCGGATATCCTCATTTCTAAGTTTTTCATGCAGAGAAACTCCGAGCATAGCCCTCTCCATAGCCCGCTAAGTGACCTTGAGCTTCCTCATCCGGCCAGTAGTGAAGTACCACGTCTCAGTTCCATAGGTCATCACTTGCAACACGCACTGGTTGTACAGCCTCGTTTTAAAGTTTCAGAAGGGAAAATGGTCTGTAATTCTTCAAGAGACCGTGGTCGCCAAAAATCCAAATATTCTAGCACAAAATGTTTTTATAGAAAAAAGTTTTTAGGGTTTATAATAAAAACTTATGCAAGACGCATGCAGAATTCAAAAAGAAATCCGACGGATACCGATATCAGAAAACATTATGCTAATTGCGTTAAAATATTTATCATCGCACAAATTTTGGAATCGATGTTAAACTTACTTTGCGATGACCTAAGACAAAGCAGTATTAACTTGATTTCTCGTTTGTCTGTTAGTTTAGTTGTTTGATGTAAATTTTGAAATTGATTTAAGCTAACTTCCCAATGAGCTTGAGAATTGAAACTCTAAACATAACTTAGAAACGGATGACAAACAAACCAACAGACAGATAACAAAGCGAGTTAATATACTCGTATTAACAAAAATGTATAATAATTATTTTTGTATAAAAAACGATAAACAAATTTTGCGTTATTAAAACTTATTAAATCTTTCGCAGGAACCGGCATATTTACTGACATCGTCAGCGAAGAGGCAAATCGAGAACCTATTTCGCTAGGTAAACCAGGAAAATTATTCGGGGAGTTTGCTATGAAACGTGCAGGCATTACAGATCCTAGCCGAGTTCTTTTCATTGGCGATATGTGAGTTTAAAAAAAATACTTTATGTTACTTCCAACACTCGACTCGACACAAAACCGGCTCACAGCTCTCTGCTAATAATGTGTACGGGAAGCGGACGGCCGCTTAACAGGTACCGCATTTAATAAATAACTTACCTTTAATTGTATGCGAAAAAGTATCACAACAAAACATTAAAACTAAACTGAAAAGCTTTTTCCCATCTAAATTATAATTACCTACTAACTTAACCATAACGTAACCTACCTGCCTAGTTCTTACTTTTACCTTGCTACGACTGACTTTAACTAAATTGTTAACTTACCTTCTTAGTCTTTATATTCTTACTATACCTACTACATAGGTACATACCTAACTACTTAGACTGTGTTTTGTACATAATATGCTGACTTAAACTTAATTATTTAGCATCAAGTCAAACCTCCGTGGTTTCTAGATGTTAATTAAATCTATATTAGTATTTTTTTTTGATCTGATAAATAAATAAAAAAAAATCTTATGGTGATAAAACTCAAATTCGTTGAAGGGATGATGCAAGAGCTGTGAGTATACTCGGCTTTGTTTGTTTGATACGTTACGTAATGAAGAAATTAGCTATGGTGTACAACACAGCCTTTCGTATTAACTAACTAAAGTGGCAGTGGGGTAATCAAATTTATCTTGGAAGTAACGGCAATTGGAATAAGCGTATCATACAGTCGTATATACATAATTGTAGGCCACAATTAGACAAAGCGCCGGTTTTTATAACTTATCAAGTTATAAAAACAAACTGAAACCTTGGTTTGTGTTCCTTGGCCTTGAGTGAGCATATTATGTCTAGCAGTGATAGGCCGTGGTTTTTTGTTGATAATCTATACATATAACCCCTGACACGTAAACAAATAGTATTAACTGTCTGAGCTCATTTTTTTTAATTAATTTATTTTGCGTGTTATAGAACTTGATTACATTTAAATATAGGCTTGTTAATAGCCAGATAAAAAATAACTTTGAATCTGTAATACGTTGACAAAGAAGATATTGTTAGATGAAATTCGTTATCAAATCGCTCCATTTCAGCGCTTGTTCAGCGGCAGTAACTAGCGCTATTATTTGCTGAACACATCAGATTATCAAGAAATATAAATTATTTTTGTAGTAGTCTACTTAGTTTTGTGTGTGTTCATTCTCATTTATTGAGGAATAATTTTTAATCCGATTAGGTCGTTACGTAACGTAATCGTCGTGATTTTCAGTTGTTATTAAAATTAAATATTTTTGTAGTAAATAACTTTTAAATTAAACCCGACAGGTCTGTCAGTTCTGCATTGAAGTGTATGTATGTACTATCAAAATTAACTACTTTTCATTGAACTTTGGGGGTTATTTCCAGGCTATTAAGACATGTATAACGATTTATAAAATCTGTTTGTCTGTCAGGGCAATACTAATCTTTGGAACGGCTGAAACGATTGAAATGAAACATTACGAACAGATATAAAACGATGCTAAGAGTGATCTAAGCTATATTTTATCCATTAATTTTAGATTTTTTTTGAGAAATGGAAGTCATTGATGATTATCTTAAAAGTCTAAATGACGTCATATTTATACGAATATACTAGGTTGATCAATATGTTTTTGGAATAGGACACTTAGCAATGAGTAATAGAAATGCGTTCTATTTTTTCCAATCTTATATTCATTAGTAGCCATGACCAGAAAAAAAAAACTAAATTTAAATCTAAACCCAATTTTTTTCCAATCTTCACATTTGACGGAATTTTGATTCGTATTCAAAATTGAGAAAATATGAACTTCGTGCGGTTATTAAATAATTTCTCCAAAATTTTTTTTCCACAAGTGTTTATGAAGAATTGCAGACTGGCAGATAGTGCTCTGTGTTATTCTACAGTGGCATACCGGTGCGCTAAATTTAAACGTGGCAGGACCGCCTACAATAACGACACTCATTTACAGGTGGCTAAATGAGCATTGTTTTTATAATGTGAATGACTATCTAAATTTGACATGATGTGACACAACAGTAGTTATATATTTTTAATTAAATTTTAATCTTAATTATATTTAAATTTTGTATGTATTGGTATTGCTCATTTGTAAACATTGACATGACGATAAATATTTTAATTGAATTTTATATTGTAAATTTAATTTAATTTAATATGATAAATTTAACTATAAAAAATATATTTGCATGCTATTATAGATGGCTGAAAAAGCTGATCTACACTATATAATAACCACCTAAATGTACCCCTTTTTCAAAGCAAATAAATCTTCATTTCATTTCATTCCGGGCAACCAAAAACGCCGGCCAGGCAAGTAAACATTTAAAAAAGCGAAGTAATTGTAAAGGTAGATCGACGTATGATCATACGTTATTTTGCTGAGATTCAGCTATCGTTTGGGAGAATTCAATTTATTTTTACTCATATCTTAAAATTCAAAAAGGTGGCTACGCCTTGGGTTCCTCGAATGTTAACAGCACCTAAAACTAAGCATATACGTGAAAAACTAAAGAATAAATAAACTAAAGAAGAAAATTCCATGCTGAATTCTTTTTCATCATGATTATCCCTCTGCCCATCGATCTCATGTTGCAGGTGATGCCATCTAAACTACTGGGTTTCAGTTAATTCAGCACTTATCATATTCTCCTAGCCTAGCTCCGTATGATTTTCACATTTTTATTCCCCTTAAATGGCACTTGCGTGGTCTAAAATTTGACAGCGACGATGAAGTAATGTGTGCTGTTGAGGCATTTTTCGAGTTCCAGGATCAAGTTTTTTTTTCCTAAGGGAATCAACTAATTTGCAAAACGCTATTCAAGATGTATTAGCTTAAAACGCAATTACATTTAAAAATAAATACAATTTACATAATATAATTATCCGAGAATTTTATTGCGTCTCCAAAAACTTATTGATCAAAATGTAGATCCCACCCACGCAAAACCGAGCTGAGTCGCTAGTATGTAATAAAGATGAAACACATAGTGATTCTTTATAATATTTATTTTGACGGTTGAGAAGCGCACTAGGTAAAAGTTATACTAGTAGCGCCACGGAATTGCAAGTTTGCAAGGCTTTATTCGGCCTCAAATAATTGCTTTGGGTCTAAATGGTTATCAGAGTTTATAAAACACCTCCGAAATTCAAGGAGGATTTAAGAGAGAGTTCCAAGAAGTATTTTTTTTTTTTTTGTATTAATAAAAAAGATAAAAACCGGAAACCTTGGGCCGGAATGCTAAATATTCAGCAGCAAAATATAAGGAGAAAGATTTTAGGGTTGGAAGTCATAACAAGTTGGTAACGTGAAAAGTTAGATCAATTCATTAAATATGCGATATTAACTAAAAATGCTACTTTAGAAAAGCTGGTAGAGAAAGAGAGTTTTAATAACTGCCAACTATTTCTAACATATTTGTTTTCATCTTCAAAGGTTAATTAATTGCTCATAATTGCTAATAAATTGACGAATAATGATAGTTAATCAATAGAGATAAATCAACTATTTATGGTGCCAGTATTATAATCAGCAACTACTTAACGAAGAATTTTCAAGTCAGCTATTAAAAACGGGTTAAGGAAACCCACTGAACAGTGATGCATTGCTAATCAATGAGCTACGGCGCTGAGAGTCGCTGCTTCCTCCCTAGTGTGGGGTAAAGATAAAAAAAAACTGATTACTTATGATAACTTACTATGTGGTCTCTATAAAATTTCACAACAGCAAGGCTAATGATTGTATGTATGTGTGTATGTGTGTATTGTATGTATGCATGCATTTTTGTCTATTTATTTGGCATCTGTAGCCTAAACGATTTGATAGATTTGAACATATCGATTATCGTCAGATTCATTATAATTGTGAAAGTGACATGGCGATGATAACTTTTTCCCTTTTCCTTTGGACCGCGAAAGCGTGTTCTTTTTTCTCGGTAAAAAAACGAAAACGCATTATTTTAGTAAATTTTATTTGACTACATAACTTTCGGGTGATATGCGGTAAAAGGGAGACCAATACTAGTGAGATGCGTAACAATCCAGCATCGGTTCACCGACGTCACTCCAATTACGTGCGAATACGTCACATGCGTCGCTTGCCCTAATTCAAAGACTGAAAGGAATTAAAGAAAATAAAAAAATGCGACTAAAGAGAACTCCGCCATCTAATCCACAACAGGAAGCATCCTTGCTGCTGGTCCTTAAATCTGACGCAAATCAAACTTCTGCTCTACCTACTGATACAGATAATGAAAGTATGTGAACAATCGGAATACAAATCGACGGTGTAAACGTCAGCACGATGATAAACCAGTTTATTTCATGGTAGAAATTTAGAAAGCCATTGGAATTTTAACCAAGCAGCAAAATATAATCCAAGAAAGCATTAAAGATATTAAGAAACAAAACAATGACATTTAAGGATATATTTTTTTATAGGATAGGGTGAAAAACGAGCACACAGTCCAACTGATGGTAAGTGGTTGCTGTGGCCCATAGACATTTACATCTATCCTCGTCTGCAAATCAAAATGCAGATGCGTTGTCACCCGTGAGGACTAAGATGGAATGCCCCTTTTCCAGTAAAAAGGGTCTCCGGTTCTCTACACACACCACAGCAGTGTTGAACTGCTATTTTACGCTGATATTCTATGAGAGCGTGGTTCTTCCCCGGTCGAGCCGAGCCATTCGTGCTACAACTATACTACTAATATAGCTACAGCATGGCTCTACCACGTTTAAACGTATATGGATTACATATCAAAGCAATATGAAGATATAAAAACAAAATGGAAATAGATAAGAAATTCCATTTGGCCTATACTCAGAATCTTGAACAAAAGTTAGAGCATTGGGAAAGGTTGCAAATACAAGCCAGTTCTAAGATAAGGAACATTCCTTTGCACAAAAAAGAATCAAAGCAAGATCTGGTGCAACTAATTAAAAAAATGAAGAGTCTGTCAATGTTTATGTGAAGGAATAACAGACCGCGACGTCTTTTGCTTTATAACCAAAAAAGAATGATAATAATAAGGGCATACATCTGGTTGGGTTTTTATTTATTTAATGTGTTTTTTATGTATTTATTTTATTGATATTTATGTTTGTTTATCATTTTCATTTGTAATTATATGTTCGTGCAGGCCAAGCAGATGAAAAGACTGTATAGTTCCCCCACATAATAATAATGTCCTACAGACCTAATTTTGGTCACGGCGGCCAGTATCAACAGAGGCTAGCCATCGGCGCAGGACAGGATTATAGTGCCCAAGTCTATGCGCAAGCACAGATGCACTCTCATAGTGCGATGGGATGGTAAACCAACATGATTGGAGAGAGATCAGGCGCAGGACCAACGGCTTTACGTGCTTTCCGAGGCACGGGGGTGAGAAATCGCCAACTTCCTGACTCCGGGCAGCTACTAAGAATATTTGGCGCGACTCGGGATTCGAACCCGGGACCTTATGATCAGCAGCCGCACTACTACAACCAATAGACCAACAGGGAAGCAAAAAAGAAAATTATTAGCCAATTATTGTGTATCTCACGACAGTTACGCTAGAAGAAGTATAGGTCAGCAAAATAAATTCTGGTTACCTTAAAATGGATGAAGAACTCAAACCAGCTTTTATATTAAAAAGTCTTACCCAGACTACTAGGAAACTTTACTTCATGGCACGAGAATTCAATAAAACCACGACTATGCTTACTGCTTGACTATGCGTGGAAATGTATTCCTATGTAAAAAGGAGGGTGCTCCATGCCGCGGCATTGGCATCGAGACAGATTTTCAGAAACTGCCCCAAATTCAAGACAAATGACCTGACTCCTAAAATTTATTGCTTTAGTTTATCTTTGTTAATTATTTATTATCCGACACTTATCCGTTCCCAGCTCCATTCTAATAGAATTACTAAAATCACAGATTGGACTCAAACAATCGCCCTGGAAGATACCCCTTCTTATCCTTGTGTGGCTATTCGCATCCGTCATCTGCTCATATAGATGACAAAGGATTTTACTCCACTGCCCCATACACTGCCCGAGGTAGTCTTTAAAGTCTCTTAGAGATAAATTTAAAGAAATTAATATATTAACTTTGGCCTCTCAGTATATTTACGAAAATTTAATGTATGTTCACAAAAACAAAGATAGTTTTAGTAAAAAAAGTGATATACATTCTGTAAACACTAGGAACAAACACAAGCTAGTGATGCCAGTTTTTCGACTCCACAGAGTCAGTAATTCATTCTTGGGGCAATGTATACGCTATTACAACAAGGTCCCGGAAAGTGTACAGGTTCTCTCAATAGAGAGTTACCAAGTTTAAATGTTTTGTTAAGTTGAAACTGTATAAAAAGGGTTATTATAGTATAAATGAATACATGGTTGATAATAACCCCTGGGAATGAGGTGGTCGCTTCCAAGCAGTTTCTAAAATAAATTTTGTAAATAATTCGTAATTATTTATATTGTAAAATTTATTTAAAAAAAAAGTCCCGCTGGGTTTCTTGCTGGTTCTTCCCAGGACAGAGGGTTTTTTTTCGAACCAGTGGTAAAGTAAAAAATGACTTTCAATAAGAATTACACATGTAATGTATATTGAATAAAAAATATTCTATTCTATTCTATTAACTTTACAGTCTACCTTGTGCAGCTCGAGAACCCTCTTTAGCTGTGTATGAGGCACCGAGTCGAATGCTTTTCTATAGTCAATACAAGCGGCAGAGAAGTTTCGACGGTTGCGTTTAGCCACTTTGCCAATGATCGCGTCAATGAGGAGTGGTTCCTTGGTTCCACGACCACCGCCTCAATATCCATTTTGAGCACGCGAAATTACCTGATTGAAATCCAGGTGAAGAATGATTTGCGTACTCAAAATGGATATCAGTGTCTTATATATGGTGGGTAGATACATAATAAGGCGGTATTTGCTAGAGTCTGTGAGATCATGATCTTTAGGAACCAAATGAGTGATCAGAGTAGTGAAGGCTCGGGAACGACTTTTGGTCGAGAGCCTTTTGAAACTGTCGGGTGAGTACAGCGTGACACACCACGAACCCCTTCAGCCAGTAGTGATACAGTCCGTTGAGTCCCGGACTTTTCTAGTTCGGGGCCCCACGGACCGCGACAGCTTCGTCATCCGGCTTTATGATGATGACACATCGATAATAATTGTTATTTTAAGTTTTTACCTTATTTTCTAACTCAGGCTTAACCTACAACTTCTTGCATGTAATATCTTTAAGAGTATAAATTGTTCTTAATATAAGAAATCTATTGCCCTCTTCTATTACTGTAAGCGAGGATCTATAATGGCTTTGTCCTTAAAAATTACCAGAAAATGAAGCCCGGTGTAAAATCACCAGACAACGAAGCCAGGTATGTAAAAGAGAAGACTTGCTGTGTTAATGTTTAGCAATACCCTCAGCATGCTCATAAGCAACACAGAAAATCTCATCAACATGCCTAAAATAAATTTCTCAATCTTGCTCCACATAAAGTGGGGTACTTAGCATAGTTGGTATATGCTACTAATTTTTGTTGGTATGGGTACAGTATCGTTGACTGTTTTGCCTTCTTAAATAATGTAAAGGATTAAATCGGCATCCTGTATATTTTTTATCGATAATCCCAATCGATAAACGTCGTCAATCACTAACTTTAAAATTGGTAACTAAATAGTGACGTTTACTGGATAACAGAGGGCGCTTATTACAATAAAAATAAATGTTCTAGAACAATCTACTAGAAATAACAAAATTTAAAGATTATTCGGTAAATATATGTTATATTACGATAATAAACCGAAATCACATTCATTTTTTGCTCCATATCGTGACTTACAATATCTTAATGCACAACCGGGCATATTTTCTTTAAAAATATTTTTTAAATATATGAAACGAATACGTCTTAACTTTTTGACGATGTCACTAAGATTAAATGACAAAAATCGGAGATTCTATAGGACATAAGTTACAGACGAAAATTTTGCAACTGATGTCCGGTCTATTACTACTACTACTTAAATGTCTTTGGTTGTAACACAAATGGCTCAGCTCGACTGGCGACGAATCATGTTATCACAGAATACCAACGAAAGATAGCAGGTTAATGCTATGGGGTTTCGTATAGTGAGGCTAGGGAACCGGCAACCAATTTTTCTGGAGACAAAGTAGGTATTACATCTTAGTCCTTATGGGTGACAACGCATTTTGAATTTTGATTGAGGATATATGTAGATGTTAATTAGCGACAGCATCTATTTAACATCAGGTGAACTGTGTGCTCGTTTGTTATTCTTATTTAAAAAAAATATACACAATTTAATATAATTGTTATGACCCAAAAAGAAAATCACAAAATCTGAACTCTCTTGGTGGCGCTGTGGTAGAGTTATGATAAATTCCGGAGTGAAACTCTTCGCAGTACCTACCAGAAAGGCCAGAGTAATGTCTGCCTAGCCAGCTTGTAAATAAAATTCATTAAAATACCTTTTCCACTCAACGTTCTTTCCTACAACTATAATGATTCCGTAGGGAAGGTCCATGTCACACATAATAGACTCTAAACTTACGATTTCTTTTTAATTTCAGGATTGAACAAGATGTTGGCTTGGGTAGAGCAACTGGTTTCAAAACACTTTTAGTACTCACAAATAATACGCGTGAAGATATGATGGCGCATCCGCATTTGAAACCGGATTATTATGCGGATTCTTTGGGTAGTTTAGTGCCGGTTCTAAATAAAGTATGAGATTTTTTCGCAGCCTATTACCTTATTGTGGATAAAATAAGTCCATATTAAAGCATACTGAAACCAAATTAGTGATTTTTAGAATTTCTGTTAATCTGTCTGTCTGTGCATTCACGATTCACTCAAAAACGACGGGACAGATTTTCATGAAATTTTGTACGCAAATAGTTAATAACCGGAGGCAGCTTATAGGTTATTTTTATCCGATTACGGAACTTTAAAAAATGATGTTTATATTTTTTCCCTGCTTTAGAAGTTTGTAATTAAAAGAGTCATTAAAGGGTCTATTTATTAACTGTTTATCAAAATAAATAAAACGAAGGATTCTGAAAAATGCATATCATATTTATATATAAAATTAAAAATAAGTTTTTTAACCGTTGTGTAATTATTAGAAACTACGCTGAAGATCTACGTTTTACCTTTTTAATATAGCGACATCTATTATAAAATGCAAAAAGTAGTATATTTTGCCTTCAGTTACGGATAAATTAAATAGAAACTACCGCGATTTATATGTTTAAATAATTATATTTATGAAAAATGCTTAAGAAATTTTGATTTTTACTACTTACCTAGTTTTTGTCGTCATTTTATTATAAAAGTGTATTAATCTATCGAAAATTGAGATATATAATCTAATCTAATAAATAAACTGAACTGTTCTGTTACCAATACTGCATACACAAACTTATGATATATGACGTTAAGTATAGCAATAGGAATATTGTTAATAACTTATTAAAAATTTAATTTTACATTTGTTACATACATTTGATACAAAAAATATCACTTTTTTTTGTCATATTCTCGCATTGTCATCCGATTTTGACCTATATCCAAAATTTCAAACGTTCAGCTTATCGTGAAGTTAATTTAAAATATATTCCACTCGTAATGACAGACAAACAAGAATGTGACTTAATAAAAACATGGTAAAAAAACAAACTATAAACAAGAAAATAAACTTTAAATTAAATCAAACCCAATCAATTTTTTACGTTACACAACTTATATGATATAAGACTTGTCCGGAGATTAATGTAATTTTTTTCTTAGAATTACCTATATAATATGTCAATATCAAGTCACATATTGTATTCTTGTTTATGTACACAGGTAAATCTCGCGACAAGCTTTTACGTAATTGCAATAGTGTAATGTAATAAATTGATGGGTTTTCTTTTAATTTAAAGTTGATTTTCCTTTCTTTTTAGAGCATTTAAATAATAGCTTGTTTTAAAAAAATATGTTATAGTTATCGCTGGACAAGTTTCTAAGTCTGTTCATATAATTTAATGCACCATTGTTGGTTTTTGATCGCCACTAAGTACACCAATATTTTTATTTATACTTTTTTCCAGCAAATTATTTTTTAGAATCTAAAACGGTACTATGTGTACAGTATATACTTGTTTTTTTTTTTGTTTTTATAATTTTTTGTAATAATATAATCATCATTTTTAATAACTATAGTTGAAAGTGTACGTGTTACGATTTTTTACAGTGAAACTGTTTTTGGTCGGATTCCATATTTTATTGTAAAGTACACATTTTCCTTTTTTTTTTCAAATATAGCATGCCTCATAGCGCGATGTGGTTGAGGTTGTGTTTTACTCTTGACACGTTAAGGTGAAAGCTCCAGGGTGGCCCGCGAAATACAAATATTCTTACGTTTTTGCAATTTTTAGGTGAGTGTCACGTTGTTTGTTTAGTAAAATATGATTCGCGACCGTGACGAGTATGTATTTACGGAATTATAATCATAATAATCATTAATACAACCAAAGTTCGTATAATTCCTTTGAATGAGTTTCTCTGGAAATAGCCATACATTGGAATTATACGAACATAGACGGTTGTATTGATGATTATAATGATTATAATTCTCTAAATACATACTCGTTACGCTCGCGAATCTTATTTTGTTAAACATAAAACCTGACACTGACATGCAAATTGCAAAAAACGTAAGGAAATTTGAATTTCGCGGGCCACCCTGGAGCTTCCACATTAAGGTCAAGAAATTTTTAGCTCTTAAATTACCTCAACCACAACATGAGTAATTTATGCCAAAAAACACCTAACCAATCTAACTCATATTTTTTATAAATAGTTTATTTTGCTATTTAAAAAAAAGATGAAAAACAATTTAATGTAGACATCCGTATTAATTTTACGTAGAAAATTTTATGTAAAACTAAGTAGAAAAATTTCACTATTATAATATAATACGTCTGTCTGTATTTTTTACGAGGTGGTCATGATAACTTTTGAAAAAATTGACGTACATAATATTTCATAGCAATAGTCTTATACTCGTAGTTTATTAATAAAAATATTTTTGATTAAAAAAAATACTATGTACACACTTACAACAACTAAATATATTTTATTTCTCATTTCTCTCACGTGAAAACGATCGTACATAAGTTCCTTTTTAGAACCAACGTAGCTCAGCACTAGAAGAGGTCATCATCATCATTCATAATTACAGCCCTTCACAAGTCCACTGCTGAACATAGGCCTCCCCCAAAGAATGCCACAAAGCACGGTCCTGAGCCATCTGCATCCATCGACTTCCTGCATGTCTTACCAGGTCGTCACTCCATCTCGTGGGGGTAAGAGGTCACTCCAAGTCACTCCAAGGAGAAGAGGTCACTACTATCAAAAAGCGGTATTTTTAATAAATATGAATTGATTTGACAAGATAGCTCAAATGAAACTTTTTTATATAGAAGAGGGGGCAAACGAGCATGCGGCTCACCTGATGGTAAGTGACTACCGCCGCCAATGAACAACTGCAACACCAGGGGAACCAGAGGAATTGCATAATATATAATAATATGTTATGCAATTCCTTAACATATAATAACATAACTCATAACTTAGGTGAAACTTATATTATTATAATACAGTAATAGTAATCTCTTTTTTAGAATTATATCAATATATTTATTTTATACAATATATTATAATTCATCAATATATAAATTGCGTTATAACACGATGCGGGTGACAGTTAACAGTTTAGTACTATGTACAGTATTAACGATATACAAATCAAAGCAACAATTATCGATTCGCTATCGATAAAAAAATATAACTTAAATATATAATATATAACATATAAATTTTAGTTACAATTTAACACCAATTATGACATTACAGTTACATACTATACTATGTATTAATTTGAAAATAAAAATTACCTTTTATTTTATGTTAATTGCAACATTTTTCTTAACATTAAAAGAAATAAAATGACTACCAGCACCTGTGATTTCTGGAAAGACGTTGACTACACCTGCGGCTTTACAAGATACGAGTGCTAGCGACTTTCGCTATAGTATTATATAAGTGTTGTCAGGTCTAGTAGGCCAAATATCTGGACGGAAGGTAAAAGAAAATCAAGAATTTGGTATATAAATCTAATAAAATTAAAATAAAAGAGTTTTTTGTAGCCATTTTGGCCGTCATGAGTTATACAATTTTGATACAATGTGCAATGTGATCATTTCTTATATTTAGTTTAAGATGCACCATGTGCTTTATAATTATTTCTTGGAACTGAGCTAATGAACGAATAGTTTATCTTCCAAACATCGGAAAAAGAGCCGTTTATGTGCGTTTTTCTTTTTGGCATAACAGAACTTGTTAAACGATTAATTAACATCTGCGCTCTGGATTTTCTGAAAGACTTATTTTAATTTTATTCGGAAAAAAGTAATAAGTCTTATGAACCCAGAACACATTCACTTCAAAAAAACCCTTCATCATACAATAAAAAAGCACAAATGTGTGCTTTATTCATAATCAAATTATGACACCGAACACACAGATAAAATCGCACGCATAATTTCACATTATTTATTGAAAACAGCAATACTCACAACCGCTTGCAGAAATTGACTATTGGAAGAACTGACCCACAATACCTTTGTATTTTACTAAATGTACTTATCTAAACCACAACATGTAAGTTAGGTACTGTACTAATTACTAATAAAATAATTAATTAAATAAAAAATCGAAACATTTGGCGTCTCGATCAAGGGTGAATAGGGACATGTCACTAAAACCCTAAAAATCGGGACGTCCCACGCATATCGGGACATCTGGCAAAACTAGTATGTATAATCTATGCCAGTGCCTAGCGTTTTGTATGAAGTTCCTATCGGCCGTTTTATAATTTCCAGTTATATTGATTGTACTCTCGATTATTGAGTATAATTGTGTTTTGTAAATTAATTTTTACTATTCGTAGAGTTTGTTTATTTAAAATACCAAAACAAATAAAAACATTGTTATGGTGAGTCAAGTGAGGGGTTAGTCATTCGCTTTCGAGATTATTTTAAGCGAGATCCACAAAATGGCGGAATAAATTTAAAATAATTTAATTCCTTTTCTTAATTTTACAACTTTTTCTATTAATTTATTTGTTTATTGTAGTACATGAATCGAAGTTACTTAAATTTAGTATAGATGAATAGCGATTATATTTGGTTGACAGTTTTTACGTTTGATTATGAGGTACATCTCTAGTAATAAAAAAAATGACCTCTAGTATGCATTAATGTAACTGCGCACGTTAGTGAAAAAATGAAACTTTTATTATTTTATTAGTAAAAAAAAACTATTTTAGGTATGATTTTTTAAGTTAATGTTATTTAATAGTCATAAAAGAATAGAAAAAAATAATGGAAACAAATTCAGTGTTATTTTTTCGTAGTTAAAAATGTACTTATCTTGCAAACGTACGGATGTTACGTTCTAGTGACTTGTCAACCTGTCACCCGCACCATGTTATAACGCAAATGCAATAATTATTTTTTTTAAAACTGACAAGTATAATGAGCACCAGTAATTAAAAAAAGAATAGAAAATAATCTGTAAGAAATTACTTACTTAATTTTTTTCCTTTAAAAATCAATTATACAATTTTTCTTTATTATAAAGAAAATGAGTGATATGAAGCATGCACTTTTGGATTATCTTAT